GATAAGGATCCTGTTCTACTTGAAGAATTTCTACTTCTATTGTCGCGATGCCTTTGATAACTTTTTGAAAGGGATTGATATCTAACTCGAGGGAGAGATGACGAGTGAAGTATATGTTTGGATTGGAATATGTCGAGGGATCATGGAAGTCACTCGGTGGACTTACTAGCCTCCTTTTTGACATGGATTCTTGACAAATTGGAAAACAGAATTAGAATAGGTCAAAAGTCAAAAACTTTCAAATTCCCAAAGAATATTCTGCATCACCAACGTTGATTGATTAAATGAGCCACGTCAAAGACACGTCGACACTTTGTTGTCCGATAGTTTGGGTGGGGAATCTTGGATTCAGAAACTCTTCCTTCTCCTCTGTAGAACTTCTGCGATTAGGAATGACTTTGTCGATACTTGTTCCCCAGACCTGAAATGGTAATTACAAGAAATTATTTCAAGTTCATGGCTATTCGAAAATGGTTCATCACTGAATGCGAAGCAATTCCGATTGACCTGTCTCGAAAATTAATCGTTCAAGTTTTGGCAACTTGAAATTCTCTCCCCACGCAAAACTTGGTATCGTTTTTTACGTAAGAACGTACCATCGCGTTTCTATCTTTATAGTATACTTTCGCGTTTAATATGGGTACAGGAACTGGCGTTTGTCAAACGGATTCTGTGGAGACTGTCGACTTTGGCCTAGATAACAGTTGTGCGGTTTCGTCAGCGAACAAAGATTCTCTAACACTCCGTAAACAGCTCAAACTACAAGGCGTTGAGGCCCTGTTCTTTGATTGCGACGATACTTTGTATCCTTCTTCTTGCAAGGTTTCGGAACAGGTCAGGAAAAATATTCAACTATATATGAAGGAAAAACTCCAGATTCCAGATGACAAGGTTCTTGACTTGCAACACTCGCTTTTTGTGGAATACGGAACCACCTTAAGAGGTTTACAAGAGTTGTATGCTATCGACCCTTATGAATATTGGTCCTGTAAGGTGTTGCGTTTCCCTTTGTTTGTGATGCACTGAAATCTTTAATAGATATACATTGGTCTCTTGACTATGAATCTCTGATAAAAAAAGACTCTTCACTTCGAAATATTTTGCATTCGTTACCTTTCAGAAAGTTTGTTTTCACAAACGCTGACAAGATTCATGCACAGAAGTGTCTTCAAGCTTTGGATATTCCGGAGGAGACATTCGAAAAAATAATTGACGTAGTCGCCGTTGGTTTTAAAAATAAACCTGACCCAAACTCGTTTTTGACCGCGCTTAAAATTGCAAACGTCGATAACCCGTCGAAGGCTCTCCTATTTGATGACTCTGTTGTAAACCTTCAAGCTGCGAAGAACATGGGATGGCATGTTGTCGCTGTTGGTAACTCCTCTGTGGATGCGAAGGACTTCTGTGACGCTTGGATTCCCTCAATTCATCACGTTCCTTGTATATTATCAAAGTAATTTATCTTCTCCCAGTTATTCCGAGTAAAAATTTTGTTTCGGAGTCGTAATATTCATGCAAACTTTCTGACGAGTGTCAACTCATGATTAAATGTAATTCATTGAATAGTTCCTACCATCTGACTCTTGTTTTTAATCATGAGATAGAAGCAAATCTACGAAGTTATAGATTATCCTCGGTCATGTTTTGATCAAAATCAGAAGCAGCGTTACGCAAACGTAACGAGGCAGCTCTGCTACTCAAGCGGCCTCCTTTGCCTAAACACTTTTCTAAATGAGCCGCATATCGCGACGAGGCAACAAGCGAGCCACAATGAGAGCAAGAAAGATTTCTAGTGTTGTTGTAACTGGACGTACTGTTGCGAACAAAACTCTGGCTCAGTTGCTTTCCTGTTTGCTCCAAAGAAAATTTAGGATTCGTCTGGTTACTTAAAGTTCCTTTATCAAATGAAACGTCAAAAATATGCCTCTTTAACTCATCAGCAACTTTTTCCTGCCCAAAACGAAACTTTAATAAACCTTCCAAATAAATTCTCCGAACAAGCTTTTCAGTGACTCTTGCAGCTAAAAAAGTGGCTGACGAAAAGTTTATGGGAGCAGTATCTCGTAAAATACTTTCTACGGCTCGCTTTCTCCTTTCAAGTTCGCTCTCTTTCTGTTTGTCGACTTCTACGACATGGTCGTTCTCAACTTTTTCTTGACTGCTACTCTTATTCTTTCGTTTCAGTGGTGGCGCAGGAATATGGTCAAAAGTTTCCATAGTCTCTACTTCCTTCATTTCTTCAAAGGTTCTTCGTGTTGAGCTGAGTTCTCGAGAAAGTTGACCTCGAGAGTTGGAGTCGTTCTCCTTTGCTAGCTGACGATTTTCTCTGGAATTCGCTTTGCTTGTTTTTCTTTGTGCGCTGGTTGCAGCTTTCCGTCTTCTTGGCGGCATCTACTATATTGACTCCATAAAACGTAAAAAAATTCTTGAGCAATCTGCCCGCAGAACCAACTTGATGAAAATTTGATTTTGGCTCCGTATAGCAGCCTTTCGATGTGAGAACAACTATCGTAGTTATCTGGACTTATTTCACTTTGTCAAATAAAACAAAGAAAATTACGACTGCCCCGATTGTGTTTCTTGTCTCCATCTACTATGTTCTCTAACAGATCTTACCCGAAAACTACAATCACTCTATTTGTGGTGAAATGAGATAGAACCTCTTAGTGGTATAAGTGAAAAAGTTTCAAAATGGTAAACCAAGTAGCTCAAAAAGACGTGGACTCGTACGTTGTAGCAATTCTACCATTGAAAAGACAAGCTCAAATTGCAAAAAAAATATGAGCGGTACCAAGAGACTTGCATCTGAAAAAAATTTAGCACCGCCTGGTTTCGATCCAGGGACCGCTGGGTTATGGGCCCAGCACGCTAACCGCTGCGCCACGGTGCTTCACCATTTCATAATAGGAGAATAGCGCAAATATACAGTGCTGGTTTCACCCTCTTATGAGTGTGTTCTGCTACTGCTTAAAACTCAGCAGACAGTAAATAAATTTTGCGGAGAATATTGAAACACATTAAAGCCATACCAAAGCTGTCGAATATAACTTTCAACAAAATCAGGCTTACTCATACTTTTGAAATTTTTGCTGGCTATCTCTATGAACCTATAGTTCCTTTTGTAAAACCACTTCAGTTCGAGTCTATAATTTTTGTTACCTTGTCAGATACAACCAAACGAGAAATTTTCTGCTCAAGCCTTTCAAACATATAATCTGAATCTTGTAGCTGTTCTTTCGAGTTAATTTCTCACTTGAAATCAACCTAGACTAATATCATTGTCAAAGTCTTCAACATGATTTTTTTTGCAAAGAATTCTTTATTTGTGGCTGTTCCTTCCAAGCACTTGGAAGATCCAAGCAAGAATAGGCGACGATAGCCTTTCGTCTAGAAAAATTCGTTTAGGTCGGAGACACTGTGAACTGGCAACGAAAAAGGGCTCGCCAACCTGAACCAGTTGAGACATACTCCTTAAAAGAATATTTCATTGCATTGTGATAACAATCAGCAAGATGCTAAGTAAACCTCGCAAAGGGCAGAAGGTGAGTTTCACTTAAGACTAATTCAGCGCAAGAGTCTTCCAAAAACTATGTTTATCTCGTATGCCACAGCTCGAAAAGAACCAAGTTTATTATAGAACTTCAAATTGTTCAAAAGCTGTTAAATCTCTTTACTTCACTTTCCCGCCTTTGGTTACGTTCTCAACTCGCAAGTAGAATTTTGCACCATCCTTTCATCGAAGGTTGGGAATCTCGCTCAGTACCACATTGAGATAGCCATGCTGATTACGTCTGCTTTTTCGTTGAACATCAATACTTTGCCCTTAAAGCTTTCGAGTTTTCAACAGCGCCTATCTTGTATCTCACGTTTGATACGAAAGAGATTTGTTTTCAAAATCTCTCCAGTAGTGGCCAGTAGTTCTAGCACTAGTAGAAGGCAAAGTCAGGCAATACCTTTCTTGAAGGCTCCTCCTTCCTTGGATGGTACTATGGTTGGGGACGTTGGGTAGGCATTCTTACACACTGTGTTATCCAACTTTATGACAGTTTTGCAAAGCTTTGATCCATTAGGATTTTCAACTATCATTGATCTTCGATATCTTCGAGAGTCAGAGCTGAAGCACTGCAGGATAGCCATGCTAGCTGTTGTAGGCTTCATTGTTCAAGGTGAAGAACTAGTTTTATTGCTGCGTCTCTATTTCTCTAAGACCAAATGTAGAATTTATTCATTTACCCGGAGATTTGTTTTCTAATCCTCATCCAATGCAAGCGATAGGACAAGTTCCTATCTCAGGATGGATACAAATATTTCTTCTCGTTGCTATTTTAGAGATGATAGACATAGCTGCCATAAAGGAAACTCTTCAAGGGAATAGAGAGCCAGGCTATTTCGGCTTCGACCCTTTGGGACTTGCGAAGGACAAACAGGCTCATGACAGATATCTTTTATCGGAACTGAAAAACGGAAGGCTTGCCATGATAGCAAGCATCGCATTCATGATTCAGAGCTCTCTATCCAGTGAAGGGATAATTGCACAACTAACACATCTCAAACTACCATTTTAAGGGTATGTGTAAACGGGT